GTTTATATATATTATTTTTTGTGTTTATTTTATATTTTGCACTTAGTATTTCTATATAAAATTTTATTTTTTATTAGCGATGCACCGGTTCCGGTGCCGATACAGAGCATGTTTCACGAGTACTTGTACTCGTGAAAATGCTCCCCATACCTCTAACCAATACTTTGCGGTGCGATTTGCATCAATACAAAATGTATAGGTGCAAACGGCACCGCAAAGATTAGCATGTGATTTGGACAGGAATGCAATTCCCGTTAAATCGCGTGTGGTTTCCCCACTGCTCCTGTGTGAATCCAGGCTTGTCATAGCTAGGTTCACACAAGAGCAGTGTGGGAAACAGGGGCGGACTGACAACTCATGGGGCCCCCTGGGGCAATAGGGGATCATGGGGCCCCTGTGTCCTTGCCCAAACTCAAAAAAGCCTATGAAAAAGGTACCAGGGGCATCTCATGGGGCCCCCTAGTTTCCAAATGGTCAGTCCGCCCCTGGTGGGAAAACTCCCTGCACCAGACCCATGCTGTCACAGAAGGAAAAGCTGGGGATTTGAAATCCCGCAAACTTCTTTCCTCTCAGTACAGGGATGACAGTACGGGCTAGACGACTTTTGATTGGTCAGCACTGCTATGGTGCTGACCCATCAGAAGCTGTCTAGTCTGTACTGTCATCCATGTAAGGAGAGTAGATAAAGCCACATCACAAATCTTGGGATCTGAAATCCACGTGGCTTTCTCTTCTCTCTTTGCATGGATGACAGTATGGGCTAGACAGCTTCTGATTGGTTAGTACTGTGGCAGTGCTGACCAATCAAAAACTGTCTAGACCAGACTGTTATCCATGCACTGAGAGGAGAGAAAGCCGCGGGGATTTCAAATCCCAAGCTTTTCCTTCTCTGGCAGCATGGGTCTGGTGCAGGGAGGTTTCCCGCACCACTCCTGGGTGAACTCGGGCTATGACAAGCCAGGTTCACACAGGAGCAGTGGGGAAAACTGCATGCGATTTGAACAGGAATCGCATTCCTGTTCAAATTTCATGCTATTCTTTGGGGTGCAATCTGTGTTCATACATTTTGTATAAATGCAAATTGCACCGCAGAGATACTCGGACCGAAAGTATTGATACTTCTAATTGCCAACCAAAAATAGGGTATCAGTGCATCCCTATTTTTTATATAATTTTATTTTTTATTTAGATTTTCAGTTTTTTTTGTGTTTTTTTTTATATTTTGCATATTGTATATTATATTATAATATCAATTGTATTTTTCTAATATATTTGTATTTTTTATTTTATATTTTGTGTTCTTTATATTTATTTTACGTTTTTTATTTTATATATTTTTATTTCAAATTGTATTTTTTATATATTTTTATATATTTTTTTATTTTATGTTTTGTGTTTTTTTGTGTTTATTTGAAATATTGCATTTTATATATGTATATAAAATTGTATGTTTTTTGAAAATTTATTTTTATTTTATATCTTGGGTTTTTTTTGTGTTTTGTTTTATATTGTGCATCTCATGTTTTGCTCTAAAAGTTTAATTTATTAATATATATATATTTTTATATCTTGTGTTCTTCATGTTTCTTTTAGACTTTGCATTCTATATTTTTATATTAAATTATTTATACGCCTCGATTACTGCAACTCCCTCCTCATTGGTCTGCCGTTACACAGGCTATCCCCCCTTCAGTGTATTAGGAATGCTGCTGCTAGACTCATACACCTTACCAACCAATCAGCATCTGCTGCCCCTCTCTGCCAATCCCTTCACTGGCTTCCACTAACTCAATGTATAAAATTCAAAATACTAACCACAACATACATCCACAACACTGCCCCTAGCTACATCACCAACCTCATCCACAGATATCGGCCAAATCGCCCGCTCCGCTCCTCCCAAGATATCTTCCTCTCTAGCTCCCTCATCACCTCCTCCCACGCTCACCTCCAGGACTTCTCCAGAGCCTCTCCCATCTTCTGGAACTCCCTACCACAGCATGTCCAGTCAGCCCCCACCCTGTCTGCCTTTAGGTGATCTTTGAAAACTCACTTCTTCAGTGAAATCTACCCCACCTCCACCTAAGAACTGTACTTGAATCACCTCCACCAGATCATCCTCCGCAGCTATCACCTTTTGTATCACCTCCCCCTTCCTTTAGATTGTAAGCTCCACGCGCCGGGCCCTCCTATTCCTTCTGTACTGAAATGTATTGTAATTGTATTGTCTCCCTTCATATTGTACAACGCTGAGCAAACTGTTGGCTCTATATAAATGCTGTATATTAATAATTATATATATATATATTATATATATATATATATATATATATATATATATATATATATATATATACACACACACATGGGCAGCACTGTGGCTAAATGGTTAGCACTTCCGCCTGGCAGTATAAGGTCGTTGGTTTGAATCCAACCATGGCACCACCTGCCTGGAGTAAGCATGTTCTCCCTGTGCCTGTGTGGGTTTCCTCCGGGTACTCTGGTTTCCTCCCACACTCCAAAGACATGCTGGTAGGTGAATTGGATCCTGTCTAAATTGGCCCTAGTATGTGTATGTATGAATGTAAGTTAGGGACCTTAGATTGTACGCTCCTTGAGGGTTAGGGACTGATGTGAATCTACAATATATATGTAAAGTGCTGCGTAAATTGACAGCGCTATATAAGGACCGGAAATAAATATATATACAGTATATACACATACACTGTATCATTTTATATATATATATTTTTTTGTGTGTATATATATATATATATATATATATATATATATATATATATATTTTAAATTGTATAGTGTATGGACTTTGGTATATTTGTTCCAAATTTGTCTTTTCTATATTTGGACTGTGAATGTGAATTTCCTCTTCCAAATGACAAAAAATCCATCTTCCACCAATCTATTGCTTGTGGATAATACTGTACTCTGCATCTCTCTGGGATTGTGTGCTGTGAAATGACAGGTGCTCTTCGGCAGTTGAAGTGTACTCCTGTGTCGTATGGAACTTGCCGTCCGCACCATATTGTCTTTCCAGAAATATCTCTTTCCATAACCCTGAAGTTAATGTATTTTGTCTGTTCGGAGCCCCCCACCCCTCCACCCTCCTCCTAATGCACACTGCCTTTCTCTGGCAGCAATTACTGTGTAGGGCTTGGGAGCACGGCGACAACTTCTCATTGGTCAGTGTCAGGCGCGATTCGCTGGAGAATTCCTCCTGACACCAATGTGACCGTGGGGACTTCATCAACACCTCGAAGGGCCCGTGCGGCCAAGCTCAGCGACTGACGTGACAGCAGGAAAAGGTCCAAGGTGTATAGATCTGTTTTCTAAAAATGCCATCTCTAGACGTCTCCGCTCATCAGTATGCAGCAGACACAGCGCCAAGGGCACAGGGATTATCTGCCATCGCGGAGAGCGGATCTTGCCTGCAGTTTGCTTGAACAGTAGCTGTGCAGCTTCACTTAATACTCTGGGAAAAAACTTCATCCCCATTTAAAGAAAGCCGGCTCCTGAAATGTTCTGTTCAACCATTGCTAAAGTGCCAGAAATGACATAATACGGTATATCAGGTATTGTTCAAGATAGACTCCAGCAAAACGGTGAGATGCGAAGGTGAATCCCTCATACTGACTGTTGCCTGGAAATGAGAGCTGACAGGTTGTAGTGCCAACCCAATGGCTGCAATACTTCATATCAGAGGTCTCCTATCACGTCAGAGGTCCCCCTATCACATCAGAGGTCCCCCTACACATCAGAGGTCCCCCTATCACATCACGGGTCCCCCGATCACATCAGGGGCTCCCCATCATGTCAGAGGTCTACCCTTGACGTCAAAGTCCACAATATACATCAGAGTTTCCCCATCAAGTCAGAGGTCCCCCCTTCATGTCAAAGTCTACACTTTGCATCAGGAGCCTCCCTTCATATCAGAGGAGCTCCATCACATTAGAGGCCCCCTTCATGACAGAGATCCCCCATCACTTCAGAGGTTCCCCCCTTCATGTCAAAGTTCACATTTCACATCAGGAGCCTTCCTTCAAATCAGAGGTCCCTAATCACATCAGAGGTCCCCCTATTACACTATTGGTCCCCATCACACCAGAGGTCCCCACTTCCTGTCAAAGTCCACACTTCACATCAATAGCCCCTGGTTGTCTCATCAAAGAGAAAGGCCTGGATGTCTCATCAAAGAGAACCTGCCACCAAAACAAATCATCACAAAATAAATCATCACAGGACTTTTTGTCCTCTGTATGAAAAAAAAAAAATTAAGTAAAAAATTTTTTTTTTGGTAATTGTAAAAATGTAAAGTTACACCAAAGCACATAAAATACCCCCACCCCACAAAAAAATATTTGAGGTCCCTCACCCCCACATAAACGCACACGTTGAAGGCAACTATGCATGGAAACATCAATTGCGATACATACACTATATTGCCAAAAGTATTGCGCCGCCTGCCTTTCCACGCACATGAACTTAATGGCCCCCCAGTCTTAGTCCGTAGGGTTCATTATTGAGTTGGCCCTGCCCTTTGCAGCTATAACAGCTTCAACTCTTCTGGGAAGGCCGTCCACAAGGTTTAGGAGGGTGTCTATGGGAAGGTTGGACCATTCTTCCAGAAGCACATTTGTGAGGTCAGGCACTGATGTCAGACAAGAAGGCATGGCTTGCAGTCTCCGCTCTAATTCATTCAAAGGTGTTCTATGGGGTTGAGGTCAGGACTCTGTGCAGGCCAGTCAAGTTCCTCCACCCCAAACTGGCTCCTCCATGTCTTTATGAACCTTGCTTTGTGCACTGGTGTGCAGTCATTTTGGAACAGGAAGAGGCCATCCCCAAACTCTTCCCACAAAGTTGGGAGCATGAAATTGTCCAAAATGTCTTGGAATGCTGACGCCTTAAGAGTTCCCTTCACTGGAACTAGAGGGCCAAGCCCAACCCCTGAACAACAACCCCACACCATAATCCCCCTCCAGCAAACTTTACACTTGACACAATGCAGTCAGGCAAGTACAGTTCTCCTGGCAACCGCCAAACCCAGACGCGTCCATCGGATTGCCAGAGAAGCGTGATTTGTCACTCCAGAGACCATGTCTCCAATGCTCTAGAGTCCAGTGGCAGCGTGCTTTACACCACGGCATACAACGCTTTGCATTGCACTTGGTGATGTAAGGCTTGGATGCAGCTGCTCGGCCTTGGAAACCCATTCCATGAAGCTCTCTACACACTGTTGTTGTGCTCATCTGAAGGCCACACCAAGTTTGGAGGTCTTTAGCTATTGACTCTGCAGACAGTTGGCGACTTCTGCACACTGTGCGCTTCAGCATGTGCTGACCCTGCTCTGTCATGTGACGTGGCCTACCACTTGGTGGCTGAATTGCTGTTGTTTCCAGTTGCTTCCACTTTATGAAAATCCCACTAACAGTTGAGCATGGAATATTTAGTAGCCAGGAAATGTCACGGATGGACTTATTGCACAGGTGACCACCTATCACGGGACCACGCTTGGAGTCACTGAGCTCCTGAGAGCGACCCATTCTTTCACCAATGTTTGTAGAAGCAGTCTGCATGCCTAGGTGATGATTTTATACACCTGTGGCCATGGAGGTGATTGGAACACCTGAATCACATGATTTGGATATGTCATCGTTCACACTGGAGTGACAGCAATATTTCTAGCACCAGTCGTCCTTCGTAACACTAAGCTGATGACCTGTAGGGGATTTTAAAGTGCCACACATAAAAAATATAGAGTACAGAAGTTTGCTGCCACTTCATGAGCGCATGCAAATTTAGGGTTTGACATGTTGGGTATTTATTTTACTCGATGCAACCTTGTCCTTTATATTTTATCAAAAAAACTGGGTAATTTATTGCATTTGTGTGCCTGAAAATTAATTTTAGTGTATTTTTCACTGAAATTTTTCATTTCCTAGACCTTTGCAGTAATATCATAAGACATAATATACTGGAACTACCACTATTTTATTGTCTGGCGTGTCTGATTTCAGAAAAAATATGTTTTGTGGATTTATGTAATCTTCAGGCTTAAAACTATATTTTTAAAATATGTATTAAAAAAAAATAAAAACACGCAAGAATGGCCCTGGCAGTGAAAGGATTAAAAGTAAATAAATACTGGAATTGAACTTTGATAGTTTATCGGTTACAGATCCCAGAGCAGGTATACAGATCAGGTGTTCCATGTGTAGTGTTACCCTATTGAGGGCCACTGTATTTGTTTGGATTCTCCCTAAGCTCTGCATGGCCAGGCAACACGCATTTTCCACACTTGGAGTCAGTAATACAGTCTTTGAGCTGATTTTTAATTGTTTTAATTAGGGGTTAACAACTTGGATGGGGTCTAGAGGTATATGAGATGCCCAAGGAACTGCAAACTTGAGGACAACTTCTTAGCATCACTACAGTACAAAAAATGTGGATCAGGAACAGGGGCGGACTGACCATTTGGAAACTCGAGCACTGCCCGAGGGCCCGGGGTCAGTAGGGGGACCCATGAGATGCCCCTGGTACCTTTTTCAGAGGCTTTTTTGAGTCTGGGCAAGGACACAGGGGCCCCATTATCCCCTATTGCCCGGGGGCCCCATGAGTTGTCAGTCCGCCCCTGATCAGGAAAAATATAACACTGTCTCTTTTAAGGAACATTGAAGTCCCCTTGATGTACCTCCTCAGACCCCAGATGAATATTTCCTCTTCACCCAGCTGCACTGAGGGATTCCAAGAGCTGACAATTAAAATGTTACTAACCCCACAACAGTACAATCAGTCTGTATATGCAGTAAAACATGCTTGTTATACTCACTGTGAAACCTAAGGGGTTAATCCTCTGCATTGTGTAAAATGGCTGTTTGATCCTGTCTTTTTTGATCCTCCCCTTTTCTACTGTCCCCAATCTATCTGCCAATAGAACAGATCCTTGGGGGCAAGCTGCACATGTTCAGTTTGGTGTGTATTGCTTGAGTTTTTTCTAATTTTTGGGAGGGTGCATGTGATCAGCACAGGGCCAATCAGCACTCTCCAGGTAGAGGGTCAGGGGTTATGCAGCCTCATAGGACAGTGAGAGGAGAATGAAAACTTCTTCTACAAGCTTTAACTAGTGCTCTGCTGGACACTGATAGAAGTAACAAGACTGCTATATACTGCTGATGAGAAAAGGTATTTAGCAATTTATATTTACTAAAATAATTGCATTTCCATGTTATGTGTACTGTAAGTAGTCCCGGATGAGAACTAGCTGGGTTTTGCACCTAAATACCCTCTCCCTTTGTCTGGCCCGGGGGGTGTAGAATTACTCACACTGCCCTGTCCTATCAGTGTGGTGGGTTGGCTTTCAGGCCCTTCGCTGGGCTGGCTCTTTCCCTGCTGCACAGGATGTCCTCCCTAAGAGACCTTGAGCAGTGGAGATCCTTCTTTCCAGTATTCTGCCTGTAGGTAGGCTACCCTCCCTGGGGCAACCTCCTGAGCTCCACACTCCATATTTCTTTCAATCCATCTTCCACCTGACTCCCCTGCTGCTCAGGCTCTGTCACATTTAAGGGCTGCCCTTGGCCACCATGCCTGGCCTCCTTGCCTGTGAATTTGTCAAGTTCCCTTAAACATGAAAATCTGGGCCTCCTCCCCTCTCTTTCAGAAAGTTTGCAGAGTTTCTGGAAAGGTGGGAGAGCTCTAGAAGCTCTGACCTGTAGAGCCTCCCAGCCTGTACTGAGGTGAACTCCAGCCTCACTTCTAGGCCGACTCATCCCAGGCTACTACCCAACAAAAACAAAGCCATTCACTAGACTATACACATGTATACTTTGAAACCTGGGGATCAGCATGATAGGCCTGAAATGACCATTTCCCACAGTAGGTACACAGTTTCAGCCTACAAACCTTTCTGATAACAGGATTCCTTTTAGTATATGGAAATAATGAATGGGCCTGCAGCCAGTGTGTACCATAAACCTTCCTGCTATGAGTTTGCTCTCTATAACCAGCGAGTCCCCGGCCTGCCACCGGAATCTACATTCCATTTCACACTGCTACGCTGGCATGTCCCGCAGAATCGCACAATCATATTTTCCACCAACAAATATGTGAGCGGAATGAAATACAAAAACGTTGGTGTCACTGGGTGCTTTCTCAGTCATTCTGCTCCATCTGGCCGCACAGCTGTTCCATGGCCAAGATGAGTAATTAATGAGCAGTGCGCACTAACGAGGAACATCTCTTTCTCCAAGCGCCTTCTTTATCAAGAGCGTTTTGTTTCTTTTTTTATTTAAAAGGGAGCCCTGGACAGAAAACAGCCATCGAATAAAAAAAATTGCATCTATTAACCCCTTGTCTACCAAGGTATAGAAAAGGATCTGGTAGAGTGATCAAATTACTGCCAATCACTTAAATATACACAGTATAGAATGCAACAATGGCAAACCTCCTGGAACTTTAGAGGCAGAACCACAAATAAAATTTGTCTAAAAGGCAAAATGCCAATTTTTATTAAAGAAACAAGACATAAAAGTAGATGACCTCATTGTCCTATGAATAAAATAACATCATTGCTTTTTGCACTGGTAACATACACATAGCACAATGTCCTATAATGATATACACTATATTGCCAAAAGTATTGGTCGGCCGGCCTTTCCACGCACATGAGCTGTAATGGTCCCCCAGTCTTAGTCCGTAGGGTTCAATATTGAGTTGGCCCCACCCTTTGCAGCCATAACAGCTTCAACTCTTCTGGGAAGGCCGTCCACAAGGTTTAGGAGGGTGTCTATGGGAAGGTTGGACCATTCTTCCAGAAGCACATTTGTGAGGTCAGGCACTGATGTCGGGGGAGGAGGCCTGGCTTGCAGTCAACGCTCTAATTCATTCAAAGGTGTTCTATCGAGTTGAGGTCAGGACTCTGTGCAGGCCAGTCAAGTTCCTCCACCCCAAACTCGCTCCTCCATGTCTTTATGGACCTTGCTTTGTGCACTGGTGTGCAGTCATGTTGGAACAGGAAGGGGCCATCCCCAAACTCTTCCCACAAAGTTAGGAGCATGAAATTGTCTAAAATGTCTTGGTATGCTGATGCCTTAAGAGTTCCCTTCACTGGAACTTGGGGGCAAGCCCAACCCCTAAAAAACAAGTCCACACCATAATCCCCCCTCCACTAAACTTTACACTTGTCACAATGCAGTCTTGCAACCACCAAACCCAGACACATCCATTGCCAGACAGAGAAGCATGATTGGTCACTTCAGAGAACACGTCTCCACTGCTCTAGAGTCCAGTGGCGGCGTAATTTACCCCACGGCATCCGACGCTTTGCATTGCACTTGGTATTTAAGGCTTGGATGCAGCTGCTCGGCCATGGAAACCCATTCCATGAAGCTCTCTAGGCACTGTTGTTGTGCTAATCTGAAGGCAACACCAAGTTTGGAGGTCTTTATCTATTGACTCTGCAGACAGTTGGTGACGTCTGTGCACTGTGCGCTTCATCATGCACTGACCCCACTCTGTCATTTTACGTGGCCTACCACTTCATGGCTGAGTTGCCATTAGTCGTGGAATATTTAGTAGCCAGGAAATTTCACGGATGGACTTATTGCACAGGTGACCACCTATCACGGGACCATGCTTGAATTCCCTGAGCTTCTGAGAGTGACCCATTCTTTCACAAATGTTTGTAGAAGCAGTCTGCATGCCTAGGGGCTGATTTTATACACCTGTGGCCATGGAGATGATTGGAACACCTGAATCCAATGATTTGGAGGGGTGTCCCAATACTTTTAGCAATATAGTGTATATACCCCATCCAGGGGCGGACTGACTATTTGGAAACTCGGGCACTGCCCGAGGGCCCGGGGTCAGTAGGGGGCCCCATTAGATGCCCCTAGTACCTTTTTCATAGGGTTTTTTGAGTTTGGGCAAGGACACAGGGGCCCCATGATCCCCTATTGTCTTGCCCGGGGGCCCCATGAGTTGTCAGTCCACCCCTGACCCCATCATACAAAACTACACCTAACCACTGCCTACAATGGTGTACTTAGGTCAGCTTGGGTGGAGGCTTCAGATAGATCCCAACATGTTTCGGAAAGAGATTTCCTTCTTCAGGGAAAAAAGTATGGTTATAGGTATCTCTATAATATAATGTATCACAATTAGTAATAATTCAAAGAGAGATACTCGTATATCAAATATAAATGTGCATGTGCAAAAACAGATCAGGCTATTATATATATTAGACTTACATTTGAATATGTGTATAGAGTATTACGTTAAAAGCATCAATAATTTAGATGGAGCTGGTGTTTACTATCATGCACAAAAGCTGTCTGGGGGGCACCCATAGATCCAGCAGGTAGCCGCAAGGACCTCTCACAGTGGCACTACAGGGACAGGTACAGAGTCTATAAAGATTCAAAAAATAATATATTTGTATAGGGATAAACCTCACATTGACTCTAGATGGAAACCAGTTAAAGCGAACAGTTAAAGCGAACAAGTCTCACCAGTCCATAGGATGTAGGCCAAGCCCTATGATCAGGTAAATTAGGTCCAGTCGAAAGAGTAGGCTAATGTGGTGGACAAAATTTAGGTGGTGTCTTTAGGAAGAAGCACCCCCAAATTGGCCAGACAGCTGGTTGACAGCGCCGGTTTGCCTGCCACACCTCGTGGAGGCAGCGTGCATTAATAGGCACGTCCATGCAGAACGAGGATGCTGTGTCCAAGGGCATCAACACATGGATAAACAAGGAGCTTGGGCCTGACGCATGACTATATTTTCTACCAAGATATATTTATAAATGACCTGCGTTTATGGTTAAAACAATCTCACAGCTGCTGCGCCTGATGTGGCTTTTTGGCGCAAAGGGAAAAAAAGTAATCACTTTGTGGGGCTCTAAAGGTGTGCCCAACCCGCTGGCGGCATCTACAGTGGTTCAAAGGGTCCTGCTTTCCACTGGAAAACATGGGACCATGGTAAATGGCTTCTTCAGTGACAGGAGGGGTGTTCCCCAGGTTCACAACTGTAATTCCCCAGCCACTGTAGCCAAGCATACCGCTGATCAAGCAAGATCTGGGCTTGATTAGCTGCTCTGGAGAGTAACGGAGACAATGGAGACTAAAAGAACTCTCATGTCTCTTTTAAGAGGGCCTGTTACCTGCCCAATGCTATTACATAGATGGCTTGGTAGCCCCTTTGTGATAGCAATAAAGTTAAGTTAAATTTAAAAAAAAAAAAAAAAGTGTAAAAAGTTTATATAAAATAAATAGAAATAATTTTAAAAAAGTTTTAACGCACCCTTGTCACCCCATACATGCCCAAATTCAAACACACAGAATAGGGTGTACATGTGTAGCTAAACATAAATTGCGTCAACACTGATGTATCTCCGGAAATGTTCAAGTGGGAACAATTATTCTAGGGCCATAAGTCTTAGTTAACTGTAACTTGATAACCTGTAAAGGCTTTAAAAGCATCATCTATGGACAATTTAGGGTACCAGAGTTTTTTGCGATTTCATGGACGTGTACTTGAGATGCTTGGTATCTATTTACTCGACACAACTTCATTTTTAATATTTTATCAAAAATTGGGTATAGTATTGTTTTTGTTTGCACTAAAATTCATTTTTATATATGAAGTTAAAAAACCTTCAGCCTTTACAACCACTTTAAAGAACAAAAACGCAGGTTTTTCACTCTAAATCTAGAGCTTTCCCCCAGATCACTTCTTTTCTATCACTAGATATCCTTAGTCTGGCAGCCAGCATCACTCAACCTATTTTCTCTGAGCCCAGATTATCATGGGCCCTCTCCCAGTGAAAGGAGAAGCAGCACAGTGATGGGATTACCTCTTTGTCACTTGTTCTCTGTTTCTGTCAGCATGCTCCTTATCAGCACATTAACTGGTTGGCTCCTTCTACTGCTTCTGCTGAATTCTGCTGTACAGGGACTGCAGGCAGGACTGGCTCTAGCATAAGGTAGCTTAGGTTGCCAGGATAAGGGGGGAGCGCTAAAATCACAATGATTAAAAAATACCTTTTTCGGGGGGTTGCATTGTGGAGCGCAACAACCCCCCCATACCCGGTGTACTGGAACCATGAGTACCTACCGACCACCCCTCCCCCCACATACCTATCCCCTATACCTAGTCTAATGGAACCGTAACCGATCCCATACCCGCACAAGCCCCACTGACCAACGGCGCTGGCACCAGCATAAGGCTGCTTAAGCAGTCACTGTAGGGCACCAGGATGGGAGGGGTGTTAAAATCCAAATCCCCAGCCACTTGCTTGGGGGATTTGGATTTTTAAAATACTTATCTTCCGTTCCCAAACTAAAACTTCCACATTGCGCCTGGAAGGAGAGGGGTACAGTGTGGAAATTTTAGTCTGCCTCACCTGCCAGCTGCCTGTAGCCATGAGGGGAAGCAAGGAATGCAAACTCCGCATCTCACCATGCTTAGGCTTGTCCATTACTTCCATTGCCAAATACAAAAAACATTAGTCTTCCGTTCACATACATAACTAAAACTTGTTGTTGGTCCAAAGGCACATTGCACCTGCCTGGAGGAGAGGGAGACAACCATACTGTCCGGTTAAACCTTGGTTAACAGGTGGGCCCCCCAACTGATGGTTTCCCACACCATTGTTTTACCTTCCAAGTGAGAACCTGCCTCCAAAGACCAACAACCGCCGCGAACCAGAACACACCCTTTTTTTTTTTTATTTCTTCCCTTCCCCCGGGAGAGACCTGTACCCAACCAAACAGCCATTGTTCCTTAGGGGCCCCCCTCCACAGCCCCCCAAAGGTGCCACTGCATAACACCACCTCTGATAATCCCACAATTCCCACAGCTAACAAGCCCCTACACCACTCTGGGCCTTTGTAGTGCGCTATTATCCGGGGCATTTCTTTACATTATGGAGGGGTGGAGGGGAGGGGGTAGCCAAATCTTCATTCGCCTGGGTACACACCGGCCCTGACTGCAGGAAGCTGATACCAAGCCAAATTTTGTTATTTATGCCTGTATGGTGTATCATTGATTACAGAACCTTCATTTATGCTTTTTCCATCTGCTTTCTGCTAGAGTTCGGCTTTAATTCCTCTGCTAATCAGGCAATCCTAGACTATGCTAGGTACATCCGCAAACACGAGTCCCACTTTTCTGACACCTCTCACCTGTAGTCTTTCACAAATATCATCAAAGGGTTTTCATTCCTAACATGAATCACAGGAACACCTTAATCTTAAAAATGCATTTCTATTTCAAGTAACAGATAGTGAGCCTGAACCAGAGAGGAGGAAAGTTCTTCGGGAAGGAAGCTCTGTGTAGTAAACTCCTACGTCCATCTACAGCCCTGGACAAAAGTTTTGCGAATGACACAAATATTAATTTTCCCAAAGTCTGCTGCTTCAGTGTTTTTAGATCTTTTTGTCAGATGCTATTATGGTATATTGAAGTATAATTACAAGCATTTCATAAGTGTCAAAGGCTTTTATTGACAATGACTTCAAGTTTATGCGAAGAGTCAATATTTGCTGTGTTGACCCTTCTTTTTCATGTCCTCTTCAGTTCACCCTGGCATGTTGTCAATCAACTTCTGGGCCACATCATGAATGGTGGCAGCCCATATTTGCATAATCAATGCTTGGAGTTTGTCAGAATTTGTGGGGGGTTTTTTGTTCACCTGCCTCATGAGGTTTGACCACAAATTCTCAGTGGGATTAAGGTCTGGGGAGTTTCTTGGCCATGGACCCAAAATTTAAATGTTTTGTTCCCCAAGCCACTTAGCTATCACTTTTGCCTTATGGGAAGGTGCTCCATCATGCTGGAAAAGGCATTGCTCCTCACCAATCTGTTCTTGGAAGGTTGGGAGAAGTTTGATAATGAGCTGGTTGCTCGAAACATGTCAGGTGATCCACCCAAGCGACGCCATCTATTTATGAGAAGCCACTAACCACCAGGGAACCTACGCACTAGACCTGGAAGTTGTTATGTGCTTATGTGAGTTGTTAACAGTTTATTTTGGATCTTAATCGAATAAAGGCATACTTCACTATTTAGCACCATTTTGCCCCCCGGCTCGTTCATTTCGAGCTTAGCAAGGTGGAGCGTTTTTTGGAAGCATGCTATCGGGAGTTTGAGCTTCGTTGGACCCACCAGGGAGACTGAGACGATCCCAGAGTGAGATTTACCATCCCCGATGACTGGATGCTGTCTTTACCGCTGATGGGGCCCTGATGTCCACCGATGATCCATTTGATGTCATACATACAATGCTCAGTTTGTATGTCCCTGTGGTAAGCGCATAATCGCACTAGTTTTTCTGAACACACTAATCTGGATTTGGAACACACGAATTGCATCAGATGTCACCGGGTGTATCCCATACCTTTATATCAGCTAGCATTGATTTATGAACTCATTAATATAAGTTTTGTTTTTTCTTGTTTTTTTTAATTTATGAGTCTTAATACAAGGACTGCTATATGTTGTTGATATATGGTTGATCTCTATATTTTTATATCAAAATATTATTCATCTTATCATTCCATAGCGCTGCATACCCTATACATATCGTTTCATTTTGAGCGTGCCAGAGCTGGCACGCTAGCCATTGGGCACCTTGATACCGGCCATGCCAGCGGCTCTCTCTCCAATGTGTTTTGCGCTCCCACACTGCTCCGGGGCCTCTATTCTGATTTGAGCTGCTGGGCTGGAAGCCACAAATTTGAGATGTCAGTGCCCAGCAGTGTCGCCTGTCAGTGCCCAGCAGTGTCGCCTGTCAGTGCCCAGCAGTG